ATGGGCTAAATAGTAATATCATGCCAAAACTGACATAACATGTTTAGAAACAACCTGAGGAGTAGATTGCCAGCTTTATGAATATGGGTTAACATGTTCGTGTAATGGATGGGATAATTTTAGTGCCTTAAGATCTTGTAACTCTTTTATATAGCCTCCTATTTTCTTTTGTTTGTATTTCATAGCTTTATTCAAGAATTCATAGATCATGGATTGCTTGGATTAATTCTAATTATTCTAATTATATCGAAAGTCACTATTCGATTTTCTTTATTGTTTCTTGATTTCTTAAAGGTGCAATAGGATATATACAAACATATTATTGAAGAAGATAATTTTTTAAATGTTTTCCATGGGTTTAAAAAGATAAAGCAGCACCATAGACAAATCAACAAACTGATTATTTGAAATAGAAAGATATCTACAGAGAAAACACTCTCCATGCAACGCAAAAAATGGGCAGAGCAGAGAGAGTGTGCTTTTCGCGCTGAGCGCAACTCTAATTTTCTTTTCCATTTCTTTAACCTAAGAAAAACCTCCTCCCTAAAACTTGCACCTATCATTTCTTCTTCTCCATGCCTTCTTTCTCCCACATTCAATTCGAGGTCGACCGGATCGATTCCACAATTGGGATCACGCACTTGGATGCTTCCATTTTAGTCCATGGTGAGTTGTTCCTCGTCATATTAACACATTTAGTGCACTCCAGATTCGCTTACCATTGATGAATGAATTGAAATTTTAGGCATTTTTTCGATTTTTGGAGAAATTTTGAAATTGTCCATTTTTTTATGAAATTTTAATCAAATTTGTCTGGAATGTGCCAATGAATAAGACTTAGCAAATTTTCTCCTGACGCACGGCCAATTTTGGACAAATTCCTTCATTTAGGCTTTCGTTTATGCATTTTTGCCTTTTTTGGTAAATTTTATTTTGATTATATTTCATTTAATTTAACTCAGATTTGAATTCTGTTTGTTAAAGGATAAACCTTAGGATTATGACTCTCAAATTTAGTCATTATCTTGCTTTTATCTTTTTGGAAAAAATTATTTTTTTATTTTTTCAATTTTTTCGAATTTTCCTAGGATTTTCGCTATATAAAGCATTGTAAGCATCTGTGGCCGTATTGATTGACAGAAATAATATTTTTCATGAGTTTTTTTTTTTTTTAATCTTGTGAGATTTATTCATCTTTCCTATAATCTTTCGCTATGACGAGGACCCCAAAAGGATCAAAGGACAAAGAAGGAAGTCAAAAGAGAAATAGTAACTACAAATTGTGGGGGAGAGAGAGTGAATTTATCAAATTGATCTAATTTTGGATAAATAAAAAATTCTTTCTCACTTTTCACTTGGAATAAAATGTAAATGATTGAGACATGGGTGTGAACAATGGAGGTAAGCTCAAGGAGCTGAAAGGTGGAGAAAAAAGAGCATTAAGGTCATTGTTGAAGACTCTTGGAGAGGTTGAACATTTTTATCATTGCATTGGAGGAATCATTGGGTCTATTTTCATTATTATTCTCCATTTCTTATTTTTCTAATAAATTTTATTGGTTTGTTTCATTCTATGGTGATTTTTTTTTTCTTTTTAATCTCAAACGTTAAGGTAATCAATGAATATAATTTAAAAAATTTATTAGTAGTGTCAAGAATATAGTATTCTGGTCAAATTTAAATTACTGCAAAGCATACTCTATTTTTTAGTTCTTATTAAAGTGAAAATATGATTAATATGTATATTTACTTCTTGTTGGTATGATATACTTGACTATGATTGACTTAGGATGCTCATGAATGAAGGAATTTTCTAAAGAACTTTTCATTCTCTGATCTACACTACAGATGATTTTTTAACAAGCATGCAACATTTCATTAAAAGTTTCAACTGCCTAATGGTTTGTGTAATTAAATTATTAGGGTGGGACTTTGGGTCATATGATTTTTACTTGTGAAGTTTTCTTTTTTGTCACTGTGGGAGGATGTCCAAAATATCTTGAGGACTTTGCCATAGTGTCCAGGTCATCTTTTAAGTGCCAAGTTTTTTTTTTTTTTTTTTTGTCATATATAAAAAATATAGACTAAATATTGTATAGTCTAAATACATTTTGCAATGGTTGGGTGTCTCATAGAACCTTAAAAATTATTTTGTGATGAATTGCTTGCTTTTAATACTTTTTATGCGTAGAAGAGTGTTTCTGTCACGTCTTGTCTTATATGCCTACTCTATTATTTGCAATTCTAATAGAGTGGATTTGAAGAGATGATATAATATATTTTTAAGACGTCATGTTGCATTAAAATCTCGACAATGCTTTACCTATTTAAACTTTGGTCAAAATTTGATTTCTAGCACAGCACTTTTTGCAGCTAAGGTCTTTTATTCTCAAGGGGATTATGAATGGAAATATGACTTTTGGTGACTTGATAAATTTCAGTCTTATTACTCTTTTTGTTTACAGATTTTCAAGTTTGGAAATAAGGAAAAACACTTATATTGTCAGCATGATTCATGATATTGATGCTTAAAACTTTTTTCCTATGTGTCGTGATAAATTTGTTACTTTGTTTAAATTCCTACTCTAGTCGACTTCCTTGGAAGGGTTCACAAATAAATATTTCAAAATTTAATCGACATGAAGTCTTTTTCCTTGTTACTAGAGGTATCATCTCATTTTCAGAATTTTCTTGTTTTTCTGTTTATGAGCTATAACCTCAATCATCTTAATATTAATGTGCTTTGTATTGCCCTAAATTAGTGATTTAAGTAATGAATAGTCAACAAGATGAAATATTTCTGCAAAAAGTAACTTCTCTTTTATTGAGAGGAAGATGGAATATCTATGAAAGTTATAATTATGTATCTAATAGAGTTGAATAGCATTTGAATGTTGACAAGCTCTTCTCGCTTTTCTGTAATGTTTTTTCCTTCCTTTTTTCTAGGTTTAGAGTTGGAGATTACAAGAGAAATAACAAGCACCTGATTGTGTTGGAAACAATGTCTAAATCTTTTAAATAAACTAAATAGTGGGTGTGAGTGTTTTTAGAGTTGATGGTTTGTATCATCTTGCAATTTATCTAAAGAACGAGTGTGTAGCTTTATTGCGGGACTGTTATACCTTAACTTGATGTCTACATTTTGATGTTTCTTCCCCTCATATTGCACAAGATTGTGAAAGTTTTTTAATTTTTAATTTTATTTTTTAGGTCATCATTGGAAGATATTTATTGTTCATAATCTTGAACAACTAATGCTTCGGGATAATAACTTTCTGATTCAACCTAATACATTTTTTATTTGTGAATGTTGCCATCTGCTTGAATTGTGCTTCAAAAGTTCGATAAGTAATGAAATTACATCCATAGTTATGTTAAAAGTTATTCATTGACTTAAGGTGGTTTTTAAAATAATTTTATGCTTGGTTTGCATGACTCTTTCAAATCATACGGATCAATTGAGCTTGCAAATAATGGACTTTTTTCACCATGTATATTCGTTCTTACAATGACAATGTTGATGGGTGGATTCAAAAAACGATGATAATTTTTTGCAATTTGCTTGCAGATCTTTCTTATGTCCACTTTATTCAATTTCAGTTATATATTCGTTCAACAACCATCATACACTTATATTTAACATTCACCAACTAACATACAACACACGCTTTCCTCACTAGTATTAATCTAAATCTAATTTGTCAAATAACTAGAAATCAAAGTAAAAGTTTATCAAATTTGTAAGATGTATTGTTGAGATACATAATTCCCTCTGTTATTTCATTTTAGTCTAATAATTAAAGTGAATCATCGATATCATGCGAGTTGGTCAATGTTCCTAATTTATTTAAAAACTTCTTTCGATAGTAATTGAATCTAATTTTGCATGTAACATTTCTATATCTCTATGAAAGATACCAACATACAAGAAAGCATTAAACGAGTTAGAATATCTATAAAAATCATATAAAGCATAGAAGTATATCTCTATTCTCTTTTGAACCTTACAATACTTATTACTACAGTAATGTAAAAATCTAGCCTAACATATTGATATTATAATAAATCATTCTAAATTTAATAAACATCACTTGGAAGTTGAATAATTGATGAGAAATCTTGAATTCTTGAATGACTTCAACAGGTTCTTGATATCTTTTGAATTGTCCTTCCAATCCTTGTGCCAATTTTTTTGTTGAATTCCACTCGATAATATTCTTGCAATTTTCTCAATTGAAATCTCTCACAAATATGAATTTGCCCTCTTCTTTCAATGGATTTCTCTAAGAATCTTGATGTTCTTGAGCTTTTTTTTTTTTTTTTTTTTTTTTTTTTTTGGTTGCGTTATAGAGACTATTCCTCAGTGTGGAAGACATTTTGCTCTTTACATGGCTTGAGTCGATAAAAAATATTGCCCAAAATTTTGTGAAGTTGAGTTTTAATCGTATAATGAAACCTGAGATTCAACCAGATTTATAACTATGTGACCGCATAATCCAAAAGTATGAGACCGCATTGTCTAAGGATAGACAACATACTTTTTTTCTGCATTGCACTACACGACTACATAAACAAATGTACTATGTGATCGCATAGTACAATTTTTGGCTGCCTTTTTCCATTCTTTCAAAATTTGGTCCCCAAAACTTTTGTGCATCATCTTTTTCCTCCTTTTAGCCTATATTTTTGCTCTCTTAGCTCTCAAGTGCATCCAATTGAACTCCTAGCATCTTCAATCTTCGATTAATGATCAATTCAACTATTGTCTTGTTGCAACTTGGTCCACGTCTTCTGTATTTCACTCTTTTTCAAGATTTTCCTTTTGTTTCTTCTAATTTTTTGTTCAACCATTGAGTTTTACTAACAGAAAATAAAACAAGTTAGAATATATTTCATCAAAAGAATAATTAAATATCGTTATTTTATACACTGAATAAGTGTATATCAGTAATCCGAATATTTTAATTTTTCTACCACGTGCCAACCCTCTATTTAAGTATTTAACATACGCGTCACTCGGTAGGATTGCCGTATTGTGCGTCTCTGGATCTGATGGCTAATACAGTCTGCGACTACTACTCACTCTGAATCTCTCAAGAAGAAACTGTGTGTGTAGAAGAGATAGAAAACACCCACTGAAGGTGTATCTGCGTTTTCTAGAAGTTCTTGGCTTTCCAGTTCCAGTCCATTTGTTACCAAAGGAGAAAAACAGAGCAATGGGGGAGGTATCACTTTTTTACTTATTTTGAACCAAATTTCCTATCTTTTTTTTCTTTTTATTTTTTGCTCTTTTTTATGGGAAAATAAGCATTTTATTTTTTGTATTGACACTACTTCTGATTTTTGCAGGAAGAGAAGAGGCCAGAGGAAACGAAGAAGGCTGAGGAGGAAAAGGTGGAGAAAAAAGAAGAACCCACCAAGGATGAGAAACCAACCGACGGAAAGAATGAAGAAAACAATAATGAGGAAGCCAGAGAGGCGGTGCCGCCACCTCCGCCGCAAGAAATTATCTTACGAGTCTACATGCATTGTGAAGGATGTGCCAGAAAAGTTCGCAGATGCCTTAAGGGCTTTGATGGTAATCAGATCCTTTTAATTAATGTTCCTAACTTCCTAGTTTAAACACTTTTTTTTTTTTTTTTTTCAACCTTGATCCCACCTCCCTGATAATTCAATAATAATTACTATTGCTTAATCTGATGTTAGCATAGAAATATGTTTTGACTTTTGGGATTCATTTGATGATATTAGTTCATAATTTATCCTGTCTGTCAACCTATGGCAACCCTTCTCCTTGAACCAGATTTTGGACCAGCCGACCGAGCTAAATTCGGTAAAATTTAAATATACTAAATTTTCTTTCTCCTTTTCTTTTTTTTTTTTTTCCTTCAGGGGTGGAGGATGTTATGACTGATTGTAGGACTAGTAGGGTGGTTGTGAAAGGTGAAAAGGCTGATCCAATTAAGGTTCTTGAGAGGGTCCAGAGGAAGAGCCACCGGCAAGTAGATCTTCTCTCTCCAATCCCGCCGCCACCACCGGCGGCTGAAGAGCCAAAGAAACCTGAAGAAAAGGAGGAGGTCAAAACTGAACAGAAAACAGAGGAGGTCAAATTTTTTCATTATTTTTCTATTAATTTCACCATTGATTTTCAATTCTTTGCATTAATTTGTGTAAAATTTTTTTTGGTTTCAGCCTCCTGTGATTACAGTTGTGTTAAGAGTGTACATGCATTGTGAGGCTTGTGCTCAAGAAATCAGAAAGCGAATTCAAAGAATGAAAGGTGAATTTTTTTATCTGTTTTCATGAGAAATCTTAGAATTTTTTAATGGTCTTTTTGTCTCATATATTTGTTGGGTTCTTTATGCTTTAATTCCCGTTTCTTATGAAACCATTGCAATCTGTTGCAATCTGTACATTCCTTTGTTGGTATAAAATATTCAATTATTCTAAGGTCAATTCAAGCTCAATCTGCTTTTTAGCTGTTTATTTCTGATGTATGCATTGATAACCAAGGATTTGAACGTAGGTGTGGAAAGTGCAGAGCCAGACCAAAAGAAGTCAGAAGTAACAGTGAAAGGGGCATTTGATCTGGAGAAGCTTGTCGATTACGTGTACAAGAGGACCGGAAAACAGGCTGTGATCGTGAAGGTCGAGCCGGCGAAGGAGGAGGAACAAATGAAAGACAAAATAGAAGAGAAGAAACCGGCCGAGGGAGGCGAAAATGAGGCTAAGAAAGGCAAAGAAGGTGGCAAAGAAAACAGTGATGGGGATGGGAATGGGGACGGCGACGGCGGCAAAGAACCACCAGCTAAAGAAGAAGCAGAAGCTGAGGAGCCCAAAATGGAGTTGAAAAAGAATGAGTTCTACCAACACTACCCTCAGAACTATCAAGTTTATCCTCAAAGGATTGTCGAAGACATGTATTCATATCCCCCACAGATCTTCAGTGATGAGAATCCAAATGCATGTTCTGTTATGTAAACGTTGGAGAAGATGAGGGATAAAATAGGGAACAACATGTCGTGAGGGCACATGGGTAAGTGTCCTACGGCCATTCCTCTCTAGACATCTTGTTGTGCACTTCAATGTCTTCATGTGGCCCCGTCTTGGGGTCTCACAGGATAGCCATAAATCTACAGAAGCTGCTATGGAATTATGTGAAGCTTCTGTACCTTTTAATTTTTTGTTTATTGCAATATTTGTCACATACTATGAATAATACTATAATACTAACATATGGATTATATTCTAAAGTTTTGTTGTACTATGCTTTGGTATTCTAGTTTCCACCTCCTTTCTCCTTTCTTTCGAGGTATTCTTTGTCGACGGGATGATTTTTTCAGGACGAGAAGGGAGAAAGGACGACTGGATTCTTTGAACAATTAGCATCCAACTTATAATTCCAAATTGATTTATACTTCTTGGACCAATGGAAAGGGAAGAATAATAGAGTATACAAGTTCTTTAAAGTTGGTTGCTTTTTTTTTTTTTTTATCCTCGTAAAAAAGTGACTTTTTAAAAAATATATTTATTAACTTGAAAATAAGTTTTGACTTACTTTTGGGTGCAACTGTATATGTTGGAACTTGAAAAATAAAAGGTAAAACGCCCTTCTTTTGTAAATCAATGATGCTACACCGCCGAACGCTCACAATTGAAGCTTGGGCCCACTTCCTTTTTTATTTATTTATTTATTTTTTTCTCTCTCTTTGTTATGTGCAATTTTCATTCACACATATCCTGCGCATGTGAGAGGCTGTCATGACTTCTATCATCTATTTTCAATCACTTTGAGTTAATTCTTTGTAAATATATGCCTCTTCATGTATTTTTGTTTCAACTTGCACTCCATCACATGAATTTCATTTTTACTCAGCACGCAGTTTTTGTTTTAACTCCTACTTGAAAATGCAAACTTCATTTTATCTCTTTCTTGAACAGATTTGTCATTCTAAAAGATTCTATAAATAATTTGTATTCATAATATCTATTTTAGATCCTGTTTGATGACCTTTAAATTAAAATTATTTTTCCTACATACTCACATTCAACCTTACATCTATACAAAATAAAATCTTTTGTATGTAAACTTAAAATTTTTTCCTACTTTTTAACCATACATTCTCCTAAAAATTACTAATGGCTGTAAATGGGGGCTTAAATTATGTGATTTAATGGAGATTTTTTGGGCTCTATATTATCCTTTGGTGAAAATAAACAAATAAACAGAAGAGTACTATATTTCTTACAATGAACGATTTTTCTGTTGTAAACTTCTTTTCATCATAAGGAATTATTGTTGCGGGAAAAGAGGACACAGTCTCACATTGAAACGAATGTCTATAAATTTTAATTTTCTTTTGTGTCTTTGTTTCTTGCGATTTTATTGATATCGATGGTATAGAATTAGAGTTTATAAATCTCAACGTTAATATGAATAATTGATACAAACAAGTTGATATAACATGAATACACTTTTGTGAGTTGTAATTTACTTGATAGATGACATTGTGGAATGGCACCCATGGAAAAAACTGTTCAAATGGCCCTGTTCGAACATGGGGCGATGTAGGGGTAGGGTCGACGTGACCCTATTCATCTAGCAAAATCCTAGCACCCATATCTAGACAATGGCACTACCGATGGTCTAACTAACATTAAAAATTGAAGTGTTACTTCTTTAGATACAGTTGGTTATTGGCGACTTTAGGTAAAGTATAATATGAGTCTAGTTAAAATTTATAGTCACACTCTTTGAACTATTGGTCGAAAGATCAGTAGGTCACCAATTTTAATTTATTGCAAATTAATCTCTCAATTTAGGTTTAATTGTCAGTATTGACTTTGTTAATCTCCGTTTCAAGGATAATTCTATATATACATTATGGTGTCAAAAGGGTGTTCATAATGTACACATGGAATTTCATGATTGGAGGGTTCCAATGATATTATGTCACTTGTATTTTATAGATATCATAATGCACATGTAGCATAATCTCAGTTTCAAATACTTTATCTCGATTTTTCACCCAGTGACGCTTTACTACATACAAATGCTTTAACAAGAACATATTTTCAAGATCCCAACTCTGCATGGAAACTATATATCAGATATAAGAATGAAAAATGCCATAAAAAATCTCCAAAATAAAAATAATAATAAATTGAAGAATAAAATAAAATGAGCGAATATTTATATAAAACAACAAATTAATTGATCAGATCATATGATTTTGTTTCAACTACCATAATGATCTTGCTTGAAAGATCTCTTCGTTATTGTCTTCCATACGAAGCAAATGTGTGCATTCGAAATCTTCTTTTGCACTATTATTTTCAGCTATTTTTGCTTTCATGCTTGTTAAGGATTCAAGAACATTGGACTGACGGCATTCTCGTCGATACTCTAAAGTCATGCTTTTTAGATTATAATCTTCCAGAACATTTATGGGCACATTCTGCACATAAAACTTTTATTTGATGTCACAATAAGTTTTGCAGTTTCCTTAAATTGTACAAATTCTACAGTCCTACTTGCTGTCCTAGGTAGCATGGGTCTCCTTACCATACAAAAAAGTTGATAAAAAGCACTTAAAATTACTTCAGAAGCGCTACACTACTAAAAAATTGATGACCAATACCTTGACAAAATACTCTCAGCAAGAGGAGGGCCCACTTTTTTTTTTTTTTAGAAATATTATATTCATGCGGATCCCATGACAATTTGAGTATCTGTCATCCCTCGTATAAAAATTTTCTGGCAGTGTAGCTTTTTTCAAATTACTTTTAAGCGCAACAAAAATGCTACTGTATTTTGACATAGTACTGCTTACTTTTTATTTTGAGTGCATGATTAGTTCATGTTTGGCCCCCATTAAATTAAAATATATTTTTCTCACTCTTTTTATCAATCACACATTTTCAATGAAATAATATTACATATAAATTTAAAAAAATTCATTCCTTTTTAACCTCGCATTCTTTAAAAAATTACTGTTGGTTTCAATATAATTTAAAATAATGGAGGATGGCCTGCCAATCCCAAATGCAATGAAATGAAATTTTTTCGCTAAAGTTGAGTCCGAAAATTCATTATAGCCCAGCCAACCTCAATCTCAGTCCTAGCTCAGTGTCCAATTGGCTAAATTTAGTTCAAGAATCCACAACAATTACATAATCATTTAATTCAGGTTCATGTGACGTAAATAATTTGTTGTCAAATTAGGTATTTTATTGCACGCATATTTAATTAAGTTTAAAAAATTCACTTATAATTAAATAGTAAATTTATAGATGTTATTATCAAAATAAGTAATTATGTCTATATTTAATTTTTAAGTGAAAAGAATATTTGTTATAAACTAATTTGATTAGATATATATTATTGAAGTGAGTCAAACATGAATGTGAAATATATTCAATGTCTTTGGATCATTTCGATATTCCTTGTTGATTTATTATCTTTAAGTGGCGTTAGAATGTGTTATCAAAGACTGCTGCTCATTTTGAATTGTATTTTGAGAACAATGACATTCAACTATATATTTCTTATTGTGTTTCGCTCATAATTTTTAATTGCTTGGAATGATTAGTTGTCAAAGTCCTTTTGGCAGTGTCTCATTAAGGGCCTGTTTGAACCGCATTATTTAAAAAAAAAAAAATACATTTTTAAACAGTGATTTGACATTAATTTAACCACACATTTTTAAAAAAATAATATTATACGCAAATCCTAAATTTTTCCTTACTTTTTGACCACACATTATATATCAATCTATTATTCCAAAATATATTCTTCAAAAATAATGTGGCTCAAACACACATTAAATATTCTTCCACCACTTTATATTTCTAGGGGGCGTGAATTTCCTATTTGACAAGAAAAGTAATGAAATCTTAGGGTTGACATTTAGATTTGTACTAGCTCAAGTAAGTGACCAATTATGCGACGAGTGTCATAAGCTTAGCCTTTTAAACTAGATCTTGTGTGACATGGAACATCTCTTATGGCATGATTTTATTGAATTTTTTTTATATTTTATTTTTATTTTCAGTCTATTCCAACATTTTTTTTACCATAACCGTGGACTCAATCCTACGTGTTCACCGAAATATTCCAATGTCCTATATAATATATTAATTTTACCAATGAATAGCCAAAAGCTTACTAATATATATGCACAATATTTTCGCTGAGTGATAAAGGGCTGTGTTTCTTTAACACAAATAGCAAACCTTTGAAGTTGTCAGCTGCTATGGATATCTGGTTTTCATTCCACATCTTTTAGGATTATTTGAGTGATTGATTATACAAAAAAGTAACTAAAAATATGAACAATTTTCAACTTTGGAGCATGAAAATACACAGAGGGAAATTGCCTTGCAATATGTTGGGTATTTTGATACCCAATAATTCGGGCAATGATTTAAAATAGTTATTGAATTATTTATCGACACCATGGACTTGGCTCGACTTGGAGACGAACTACACTTTTGAATGGCTCGGGTTTGGATTGGATGATTATTTGGTTCGTTGGACAATTTAGTGATTAATATGTAGTTGGAAATTGGCCCATTAGTTTAGGTTATATGGCAGCCCACTTAGAGATCTCTTGACCCATATTTGGTGAACTAAACTAACATATATATATATCACAATGGTTGAATCTCACTCACAACCTCACATGGCTTCCCTCTCTCTCGGCTGCCTCTCTTCTCTCAACTCTCTTCTCCATTACTACAACACACACACACACACACACACACTATACCTTTGTGGATTGCTAACACCACTACTCTTTTCCTTTGTGGGGTTAGAGAGAAAGAGGGCAGTCCAAAAGTGAAGGCGAAAGTCTCGAGTCGAGTTGAGGTAAATCGGTGTTCGTTTGATTACTTTCTGAGCCCGAAATCAAGATTTATAGAGGGATTTCCACGAAAAATGGTATCAGAGGTTGTGTTGTTGATAAGTATGTGATTTTTTGGGCTAAAAACGAGTTGGAAGTGGCCTGAAATCGAGTTGGAAAGTTAGTAGAAAATTGGACAGAATTTTGGCAGATTTTTCAAAAATTGGACGGATCTGTTTTTGCATTTTTCGGCCAAACCAAAAAGATTTTGGAGAAACAAACACCATCGATAGACTGTGCAAGCAGAGAAGAAGCCGGAAGGTTGGCGCGTCACCGGCTCCCGGTGCTTGGAAATTCGGCCATCACGCGTGAGGGTGCGTCGTGTAGAATTTGGCGACGGTATCTTCAGA